GTGTGTGTGTGTGTGTGTGTGTGTGGATTTGGCTGTAATAGAGGCTACATCTTGATGATTCTGATACTTACCCTTGTATGGGTAAAGATTTTCATATTAAGGGGAAAACTGAGGACCTGATACCTAGCACATTGTCTTTTTTTTTGTTGCAGCAGCATAGAAGGCTTTGGCAGTTCTGTGCCTTTTTTGCAGGGACATCCCTGGAAGAACTCATCTCCCCACACTTCTCCTCTTCCAGGTTTGTGAAAATAAATGATTCCTGATGGTATGATTTGTTTTTGCACACTCTCTAGTCTGTCCTGATTTTAATGGTCATCAGGCATTATCTCTACAGTATAATGAGATTGATTACTACCTAAATGGAATTATAGAGTCTTCATCCAATAGATGATGGAAACGGAAGCAGAGATACACATCCAGGCACTGAACCGAACTCCTGGAATCCTGTTGTAGACATGGAGGAGTGATGAACAAAGTGGTCAAAACCATGCTGGGGAAACCCACAGAAACAGCTAGCCTGACAAGTTGGAGTTCAGAGAACCCAATTGACAGCTTGGGAACCAGCATATGACCAATTCAGGCAGCCTGAAGTTGGGTGTCCAACGGGGCCTTGGGAAGTCTATGGGACTTCTTGCAGTGGAAACAGTATTTATTCCTCGTGCTCAAATAGTCTTTGGGAGACCATTCAAAATGGAAGGATGCTCTTTCAATATAGATATATGGGGGAGGACCTAGGTCTTGTCCCAAATGATGTGACAGACTTAGATTAGCCCCCAATGGAAGCCTCATCTTCCCTGGGGTATGGATGGGGCTTTGGTGCTGGACATGGTAGGATGGGAGGGAGAGGACAGGCAGATTGGTTTGTAAAACAAGATTGTGTTTAATAAATAAAAATGTACTTTAAAATGGTTTCAATGATTAAATATCAAAAGGAATAAAAGCCGGCTATAATATATATTCATGTAAGTGTACTATCTGACTTTTAAAAAGAGTTGACCCTGATATTTCTCCAACTATTCAATAAGGGAGAATTAAAGACACACTTTCTGATATGTTCTACAAACGCTGAAGGACCCTTCTGCCAGACCTGTTGATATCAGTTTTCCTTCTGTGATACCATATGTAGAAAAAAAAATCACTGACATCCAACTCTCAGTTTACCTCTGACTCCCGGAAAGGTGTGTTGTGCACAGACAGATAAATAACTCTGAGCAAAATAAATAAACAGAAAATATTACCCTAACTGTAAAATAAATGGAGACTCTAAATCAACAGTTAATGCATCTGAACATGACAATTCTTATTGAAATCACTTGAAACATTCAGCAATTTCAACAGAACATAAACAAGGGTATGTTCATACATAAGGTGAGTTCATGACTGAACAACAAAAGGACAGATAATATAGGAAAAATTCCAGATGAACATATGAATATAAGGTTCCACGCAATAGAGGCACAGGCTCTAATCCCAGCAATCTGAACGCAGAGGCAGGCAGATCTCTGTAAGTTCTAAGCCAGAATGGTTTACACAGTAAGTTCCACAGAAGGGCTCCAAAGCACACAGAGAAACCCTGTCACAATAAAATACACAAAACTAACAAACAAACCAAAAAATGTAGATATAGTGTAAAAAGCCCATGCCCTCAAGATTGTAATTAAGTTATTTTCCAGAAAACAGTTACAAATGAAGATAACTTTGTCATGAGTGACATGCAAGAATCAAAATGTAAATTTTGAGGGAACATGCCGGGAGGTGGTGATGTGTGCTTTTTCCCAATTCTTGGAAGGCAGAGGCAGACAGGTTTCCGTGTGTTTGAGCAAGGCCTGGTCTAAATAGCGAATGCCAGTACAAGCTTGAAGGCTTCAAAAAGAATCCCGGTCACAAATACCAAAATAAATAAATAAATACATAAATAAATACATAAATAAATAAATACAAACAGAAAGAAAAAAAAGTGAGGGAATATTAGATTTGACACTGAGGTCAAGGAATAGAACAGCAGTCACCCTGGGATGGTCCACAATATTCTGAGAAGAGGTCTAGATCTCTCAGCATTCTGACTCTTTAGACAAAAAAGGAAGAGAACTGGGTGGTTTAAAATCAAGGCTCTGGTTCCTGATGAGTCAGCCAATAGGAACAATGTCCAGTGGCCCAATCCACACTCCAAAGTTTTATGACCAAGAGAGCATTCTGGGTCCCCTGAAAACAAAATAGTCCTGGAAGACGGCAGCCAATGAGGCTGTACCTGGTGTTGCTTCTATTGAACAGAAAATCCTCTTCCAAATTAGCGGCTTTGAGCACTGTCTGCGCACACTGCCTGGGGCACTGGTGTCAGCGAAGTGAACTCTCTGCCTTCACTTGCCAGAATGGCACCAACGGTCTCTTGACCAACCAGCTCGTGCAGCTTGTGCATCCTGAGCTGTAACCTGATTGGTGACAGGTACTGAAGTGAACCAGTCAGATTCAGATGCCAATCCGGGCACCCTCATTGGTCAGGGGCAGTCACGTGACTTGAGGCTGCTCTAAGGAGACCTGTCAAATGCCTGCCATGTGGACAACAGATGGGGATCCTGTGACAGCCGGCTTAGAGATGAAGGCTTTGCTTGTTCTGTGCCTTTTGTGCACAGCCCAGCCAACAGGCATCTTTCTCTGCATACTACTTCCCTCCAGGATCTCATTGAAGTCCTGAAATTAGACTTGTTTTCTGAAGGTCTTTTGGTGTTTGAACAGTTTCTAGTCTGTTCTAAGTGAAATATCATCAGGCAATATCTGTGAAGTGGTGACTTGTGATCGCCCATAATTGGAACATCATCAGGACCTCATTAATTTCTGCCTTTAAAGTACTAATTGTCACAACGAATAAATCCAGTCTCTGAGTGAATCTCAAGACCATTAATGCATGCTGA